TTTTTTTTTTTTTTTTTGTGTAAGAATAATGGTAGTTAAGCAATTTTTTTTTTTTTTTTTTTTGTGTAAGAATAATGGTAGTTAAGCAATAGTCAGACTATAATGGCGCAWTACACTTAGTTTTCCTTTTCAAATTCTTCGAAAACTTGTAATGAAGTAACTATATGGTCCCAATAAGAAAAAATAATCAATGAATGTACATATTTTTGTTCTGACATATCAACATTGCTCATTCAGTTATTTAACTTCCGTTTAGGTATTACCCACTTGATGCCACAGGGTCTAAATTAACAACACAAGTAATTACCCACTACTTATAATCAAATTATCAAGATGACAAATGCATATGTGTGCTTTGAATGTGCATTTACTGAGAGTGCCACTTCAGAAGGCTAAAGTTTATGATTCAGCACCTTATCTGCGGATCCACTTGAAGTGTTCTAAAAAAATTGCATCCGTTTTTTTTATTCAGCAATAAAATAAAAAATGTTGGAGTACAACAATTGCTAGAGATATCCTTTTAATAGGAGACTTCTCGCTTCCTCATTCATATATTCATTAAGTCTTTTGTAGTGGGCCTCTGCCAAAAATTGTTTCAATTCTACGGTGACATTTATTTGTTAATATTTATGAATTGAATAATATATTTGACACAAAAAAAGATATAGTTTGCTAGCATAGCATACCTAGATAGCAAAATCTGATAAGAAATCACTTTCGTACCAACTCTTTCTTATAAATGCCATAGAATGTTTATTCTTGGTAACTGAACTTCAATATAATAAAATTATTTATAGATAAGCTAGTTTGTAAGTGCCGTGCTCAACCACTACCATTGACACCGCTGTACGTCGACTACTAATAGCCTAAGATTTGATACTAGCAATAAATTGGGAATAATTTATCTATATGGCCTTTTAACAAAGAAATTACATGTCATAAATCCAACTCTATCCAAAAAAACATTAACCAAACACTTGAACTTGTCATAAATTTAATGATTACAATATAYTTTCGTAGCACATTTGCTGCCACTTGTCTTGATAAGCGAATAAATCAAGTGAGGTAGCACCACCAAGTCTGGTTGAAATTACCGATTAAATATACTCGATCATCACCTTTTATACATTTCGACGTTCGCTAATGTTTTAATGGAAAGCTCGGAAAATTCGAATTCGTAGAGCGAAGTATATTATTATTTAAAAGAACACACTTTGGCATTTATTTTTTCAAGATTACCGTAATTCAACTGGTAACTAGCTACAATTACTCGGTTATCACGGCGCGATAGCAGCCGCCATTGATGATTACGTTTTCACCAGCAATATTTTTGAAGAAATTCGGACCGATGATTCTACCGCCCCACAGTTTTYGAACCTCTTCAGGTTGCTCTTCGTCCCAACTGCTCACTTCTGCTTCTTTATATACCCATTGAGCCMAAAATGGTCCTCATCATTCTTACACAAGCTTGTGATTTGTAGACTTTAAATTTAAGATCTCGAAGTAAAATGCACCAGGTCATTCCATACGTCAACTCGAGTTGCTGCGAATAGYACCAAATCTACTCTCCACGGTACATTCTCAGCTACGGCTGCTATATTTCTCGTCTATTCAGACGAATATTACCCAATAATGAGTGTTTTCGCTGCTACGTGCAATTTTACAATCCACCATGCGCCATTTACTCGATACTAAAATTCGCTTTCATCCAAAATCTCATGCATACATATCCATATGAGCATATATATGTGTGCGATTTTAAATAAATGCTAATAGCAAACTGTCTGCGGTATCTGCTTTCACTTTAGCTGATTTGCTACACACACAACAGCTGTTGCGGAAATTGTCAGCGCCAAAGCCGCCGACGTGGAGTTGAGCGAATGCGATCATAACGAATTAATGTCACTTATCATATAAACAGCTACTAGGATTTGCTGCGACCGCACACACATACTGAAATATCGGAGTCTATGTGTCAGTACTTAATTTTAAGTATGTGTGGGTATATGCATATACATGTACAGCGCTGTAGCGAGAGTGAGCAATGAGCATGAAAGCGTATGCACTTGATGAGCTTATATCCGTCACAGGTGGGCACGTAACCATGGCATTCAACATATGCATTCTTCTATATACATATATATATAGAGTAACTATGCCATGGATATGCTTGTGTGCGCTTTCAGTTTCGGTTTCGGTTTCGGCAACATTTTTCAAATAATTATACGCTAGACGGCTTCGTTTTCATCGGCCACACTTCAGTACAGATACTTTAAATTTAGTCTGCGGTTTAGTTGCTGAAAATTGTGAAAGGAAAATTGAAAGAAAGGTCCACAAACAACACCAAACCGATGTTAATTTCGGATGAAATGACAGCTCTTGAATCTCTTCAGGTTGGTCTTCGTCCCAAACTCGGCAATTTTTTTTTATTTTTTATTTTTACACCCATTGAGCCAGAAATGAG